TCCAGGCCACCGGGTCACAGCCTGAAAAGCCGCCTTGCCTGAGGAAGCAGCTGCCGAGAACGGGAAAGTCACTGTTTGTGGCTGCATCGCGGACACTCCACAGTTAGTTTCTTCCACGTTGCCTCCTGGCCTTATCTTGTTTGGTGAAGTCTGCAGTACTTCTGCAATCTAAACTGTCAGATTCCTGAGCATGTCCCATCTACACCTCCTCATACAATCTCTCGCCCTTTCCTTAACTCTGAAAGATCCACGCCCAGCTGGTATAAGCCCCTGGACAGTTTTCCAGCCTAACCAGCATGTCCCACAAGGAAACAGAGGCAGGGAAGGATGTGGGTTTGCAGTCAGGCAGTCTTGAGTTCAAGTCTTGGTCATTTCTAGCTGTGTGTCCTTGAATAGATTTCTCCACGCTTTCAGCCTCTGTGTGGTCAAAGGACAAAATTACCACACTGTAAAGATCTTAATTGGCTTAATTTGGAATTCTAGAATCAGGCAACCTTTCATCTCATAAAATAAAATAGGTGAAGGGGGCTGAAGAAAACAGAAACAAAGAATGAAGAACAGATTGGCCATTTCAAAGTTATTTTCTTTGTAAGACGGGGACGGGTATCAGAACAATAGAAATTGACTACTGTCAGATCAGTTCGGGTTCTCTCCTTTATATGCTAAGGCAGAGAGAACGTCACTATCATGCCAAGTGACAGAAGGCAATTTGGCTATTTCTAATGCTGAGGGTCCATTAAACAGTTTAGTGTCAGCTTGATGGAGTAGAATTCTAACATGAGTGACTCCATTTTAATTTTTAGTTTGGTCTGTTTGTACCCAGTGCCAGAACCTGGACCAAAACATGGACTTCGTGTAATTTTTAGCTAACAGCATCTACAGCTGTGAGAAGCAGGCAGTAGCTGTACATGATGGTGCATACCTGTAACTCCAGCACTTTGGGAAGCTGAGGCAGGAGGATTACAATTCAAGCCCAGCCTCAGTAATTTAGCAAGACCCTGTCTCAAAATTTTAAAGAAAGGTTGGGGATATAGTTCAGTTTGGAGGCCCTGGGTTCAATCCCCAGTACCAAGAAAGAAAAAAAAGCAGTGTAGTAAAACTTGTTACTTGGGTTGTTAGGATAACAGCAACATAGAGGGAAATTAATATCTTTTCATGGTATGATGGTTAATCTTGGTTATCAATTTGATTGGCTTAAGAAACACCTAAGAGACTAGTAAAGCACACTTCTGGGTGTGCCTGTGGCTCACGCAGGTGACCTTGCCCTCCCTGGCCTCTGCTGCGCTGGTTTCTTCCCTGCTCTCTGCTTCCTGACTGCCATGAGGTGAACAACTTTCCTCCACCGTAGCCTTCTGCCATGGCATTTTCCCCATGGACCCAGCCTGCCGTGCACTGAAACCTCTGAAACTGAGTCAGAACAAACCCTTCTTTTTTAAACTGCCTATGACAGGAGGCAGTTTTGCCTCAGCAATGGAAAGCTGACCCATGCATATACTGTTGTTATTTGCTTCTCTCTTTCTGAATTCTGGGCTCATATACATTCATCAGGAAATTTTCCAGAAGGAAAGCCCTGTATCATTTCCTTGTCCTTCCTTTCTAGACATAAATAAAGTGGCTCCTGTGGTGGCCAAGAAGACATGTTTGCAGGAAACCAGAATATGGAGCCTCGTCCACTGGAGTCTGCAGAGCTGGTGTGCTTAGGTCCTGAGGCCACTGCAAAATGGTGCCTGAACTGTTCACTGACAGACCCTGGGGTGGGATGGGTGGTTCCTGTGTCCTACCCTGGCCTGTCATGCAGCCTCTGGGGAAACCTCCAGCAGAGCGCACTGTGGACTCTGCTGTAGGGTTTTCACATAGGTTTCGTGTTTAGCAACCTGGGAGGGAGCAGAATTGGCGACCTCCAAGCAACAAGGAAAGGCTTGGTGGTGTTGCAGCCGCCTTCCACAACCTTCCAGCCCTGCTCCTCCAGTATCTCCAACAGGGGTGGTTCCACCAGCCATTTCCCTCCACGAAAAGCAGCTATGGTTCCCCCTAACTGTATGCTCCAACTTCCACACCCTTCACTGGAGCAGAACAGGTAAGGCAGGGGAGAACAAGGGAAAAGCAAATGAGAGGTCTGATCAAAGAGCACAGAAGCTGTTCTAAGTAAAAGAAACACTGCCATTAATCTCCCTCAGACGGTCATGTTTGCTAAGTGTACAGGGCTTGCAGGGAGGGGCGGGGGAAGTTGTTATCTCCTCGTCTTCCAGATGTTAACACTAAGCACAGTTGCTGAGCTAGCAAGGGTGTTAGTGAGCTTCAACTCACTGTAACAAATAACTGACAAGCAAGAAGTTTTATTTTGGCTCATAGTGTTTGGGGTTCGGTCCACTGCCAAATGATCCTGTAGCCACAAGATGCATCATGGTAGGAGTGGACAGTGGAGCAAAGATAGTTCATGGCTGGGAAGTGAAGAAGAGAATGAGAAAGAGTAGGCTCCGTAGTCTTTTCTAAGGATGGGCGGCCAATGACCCAAAGACCCATCACTAGGCCCTGCTTCTCCAGGATTCCAATGGGGCCATGATGAAGCTCAAGCGCTAACATAGGAACCTCTGGGAGAAGATCTGAGATCAAACTATAGCAGCAAGGGATGGGCCTGGGACCCAGACATCTTGCTTTCTCATGCCTATTCCCTTTGCTTCAGCATCTTTCAAAGCGGGTTTTGTAGACTGCATACTTTCAGGGAGGGATTGCAGTGGGAGGTCTGGAGAAATGGACTCTGTGGCCCAAGAGCTCAAACTAGGAAGCAAAGCCCCTTAGCCTGTATTATGTCCCAAATATCGGGACTAGTTTTAGCAATATCTGCTGACATTAGCAAAAACTTAAGAGGTGAACAAATGAGCAGCGCCAGGGCCCTAGGTAGGCATCTGCTAACAACCCTCCAGTCCACTGCCCAGCCCTCAGGGTTACAGGACAGCAGCCACTCTCCAGGCTCCACAGGTCCCTTACATTACCTGTCTCAAAGGAGGAAAACAGAGAGAGATCAGAAGGGAAGCACATTTTCTGCCCCCACCGTTCCTCTCTCCACCACTTTAAGTCTCCCGGAGCAGAGGCAGTGAGACACATACTCATCTAGATGCCTCCTAGAAGAGTGAGGACCCATTCCCTGCAGTTGGGCCCATTCTCTGCTGAGCACAGCTGTGTTCTGATGACAGGATGGGAAAATAAGTACTAACGGTCTCCAGGACTGCTGGGTAATGATAACTTACAACAACTTATTATGCATTTTATACAGAACTAAAAGAGAGGAGTTCAAACGGTCCCAAAGAAATGCTCAAAGTTAATGCAATGAAAATGCCAATTAATTTGACCATTGTATATTGCCGGACTGTCCATATTTCATAAACATCTCTAATATGTTTTTTAAAAATGTAAAAAATTAAGGAGAAATAATTAGTCGGAAGCTACTGATCAGATCTGTCATTGATGATTTCTTCACTTCTGGAAACTCTGAGACCCTAGGTGGCTGCACGTTTATCTCAAAAGGTACTGTTAGGGCAGTTTCTCAAACTTGTCTGACCTTGGAACCCCTCCGGCACTAAACGTCTCATAAGACTTGGATTCCACGGGACACACATTGAGAAACTCTGCCTCCTCTGGTCTCTCAGTCTTTGCCTCCCTGTTTTGTGTGACATCAGTTTTAGACGAGACAGAAACCTTCCCTTCGGCCTTGAGTAAATACAGTTTTTCATAAGTTTCTGTCTTCTTGATGTTTTTCTAAGTCATTCCCTATCCAAGTCAAACCTGGATCCAGAATGACAATTTTTCTGTTTCTGCCAAAAGCCTCACATTTAAATGTTTATCCTGAAATATTTTCAGTCTCCTCAAAATTCTTCAAAGTTTAGGAAAAAGGACAAGATGAAGCCTTCACACTTAAATTCCATCAGCTGTTCTAAAACGTTTTAACAATTCCACCCACCCTCAGACACCAGGCTCAGCCTTAGAATATGTTCCATGTGTTTTTGTGTTTTCCCCCTCGCTAATTAGATGTTCGAAGTTCCATTCCTCCAGGAGCCTGAAGGCGGTGTATGCTCAGAAACAGTTTTCATAAGTTTTGTAGCTCAGGCTCAGAGGGGAACTTTGACTTGTACAGGTGCTCATCCTCTGCAAGACAATTTAGGATCGATTGTGGCTGCATCTTCCTCTGCTTGCCCAGGGAATATAGTGGGCCTGCTTTATTTCCATTCTTATACCATCCCGGGAGAGGGGCATTCCTCCTGTGGATCACTCTGATTTCACAGGTGAGAATGCTGAGCTCGGGAAGGCTACCCCCAGCCTGTCTGACCCAGGCCTTCAGCCCTGATACTCACTGGTTGGAAAGAGGGGAGTCACTGGGGGTAGATGGGAATGAAACCTTTCTCTTCAGGAAGTAAATTTGGGCCCACCAGTCCTCTTCAGGAAGCTGTGACTGCTAAAGGCTTCTCACTGTGTTAGAGAACTTCTTTTTATAGATATGAGTTGACACAAATTGAAAAAGTATAATCCAGCTCTAACCGGGAGACTTGGGGTGCACGTGTGTGTTGGCACAGGGGGAAATCGCGGGTTTCCCCTATTAGTTAAAGTCAGTTTAAAATTCAGTCCGGCGTGATGGCACATGCCTGGGGATCTTAGCACTGGGAGGCTAAGGCTGGAGGCTCAGGCCTTTGAGGCCAGCCTGGGGTTTATAACAAGTGCAAAGCCAGCCTGGCCTCAGTGAGAGGCTGTCAAAATAAAACAAAGATAAGCTTAAAATTTACATTAAGGGTGGTCTTCAAAGAATAAAGCTTTTCTCAAGAGGTAAATGCCTGGTGTTTACAAAGCAGGGCAACACCTCCTCTACTGATTAACCACTACAAAAAAATACGTAAATCCAACATATTTGAACATCGACACAGGAGACACACTGCTATAAACTTCACATATTTTTTGCAACCAGCTCGAAAAATGTTGGTGACCGCTTCAGTTTAATAAAGCAAGGAACCCACATTCCAAGAGATTTATTAGCAAGATCATGTCCCAAAGCTAGATGTGAGGGCAAATGGTGAGTGGGAAGCACAGGATAATGTTCCAGCCAAGAAGCCTTGGCCCTCAGTTCACCTTGGCTACGCTGGTTCCAGCCGTCACCTTTTCCTGCAGGGCAGGTGGCCTCACTGAGGACACAGGGTGTGAACAGCCTGGCTCTCCCATTTCCGTAACCAGGCTGGGAGACAGAAGCTTCGAGGGCGTCCCCCTGAGAACACGGTGCCCATCTGTGCAGAAATAGAGCCATGGCTACTGCTCACACAGGGATCAGGAGCTTGCCTGGGAGATCGCAAGGCTTTTAAGTCACAGAGAGCTTCTGGAAAAGAGGTGCCGTTCCACCAAAAGCACCACTGCACGATCCCTCTGCTTGCTTGTCCCGTTCAGCCTGCATAGCGAAAATAGAGTCTGAAATGTCAGTTTAACTTGGAAGATCCCTTTCAATGCACCCATAAGACACCCATTGTCTTGCTTTCTACGGGAACCTCAGTCTGTGCCACAAAATCTCTTTTGCAGAAACAAAACACAAAAGAACACAAATGCAGCTTGTGGTGGTGAAATAAAAGACACCGTCTCTCTCATATGACCATACTTAGGCTCTGCTGCTTTTAAGACTTTTCAAGAGATTTTCTTTCTTTCTTTTCCCTCCCTGTCTCCCAAATGACCTTCTTTGTTTGGGATCCCGGTTTGCCCTCCTGCCTTTTCTACAGTGTCATTTACTGCTCTGCCAGAAATAACTGAACTCGAGGACACGAAAGGACAATGAGGCTCGTTACCCGAGGCAAGAAGCCACCTGCATGCATTTACAGAGGCCCCTTCTCATGTGTCCTGCCAGTTGGTACCAGAGGCATTAAGCGGGGGCCACCCAGGCTCTCTGATGATGAGCAAGGGAGGGGTGAGCACGCAGCACCCCACACTGATGAGCTCTGAGGAAGCCAGGGAAAGGCACCCGAATTATCACTGTTATTACTGTTGTTATCACTATTCACTGAATTCATTCTACTACAAAGAAATAGCAGGACCACGAACCTGTCCTGATGCATGGTAAATGCAGTACTTACATAGTATTTCCAAGTCTCTAAAGAGACTGCTAGTGTCACTTAGGCCAGAGCGACAGGGTAGAGCTGTTAGTCAGTCTTCCAAGTTATTATTCAGCTCTTTAATCTGTAGAAAGTCAAAGCAATGTGAATAATTCAAAATGCTTTTTTCCCAACACGGAATCCTAGCTAAGAAGTTTGCTGACCTTTCTGGCTTTTTCCACCAAGTAGTTGGCTTGGTTTCGTTCTTTTCCCTCCTTATTTCATTAAGTGTTGGCTCAGTTCTACAGAAATGAAAGTTGGGGAAAATGAGGCAGAAAATACCGCACAAAGGCCACCCACTATGTACACTCATAACTGATGTTTTCAAAGGTAAGAAGAAAGGAAAAGGTAGCACAGAATCTCAGCATACTTAAAGGCAGCACAGCTAAGAGTATGCAGCCAGCAAGCCACGACTTTTCACATGGATAAGTGAATGAATTGTTTATGCAAGAAGCAGGTAGCACAGACACAAGGAGACAGAGGCTGCGCGGTTTGCTCACTTCAGATTTTACCAAGCGTGAAACACACCTGCAAAGTCCGATCGGGAGGCACCGGTGCCCTGAGTAGGAACAGGTGGTCCTCACAGGCCCTCGACAGCAAAAATTGCCCCAGATAAGGATGCGTTCTTGCCTGAGCTGCCTGGCACCTGGCCAAAGTTCTCAGTTACTGAATTACCAAAAGGATTCCTAGTACATGGGGTTTGCCATAGTAGGAGCCCAAAGATGATGGATCAAAGAGGCCTGTCACAGCTCTCATTTGGACACTAAATGGATTCTCAAAGGACTGGCATCTAAGATGAGCAATCTAGTACCACCATGGTGTCTGATTCATAGAAGACATTGACTATCTACTGAATGAGAGGATAAATAGGTGACCACAACTTCATGAAGGCATCACTTGGGCTGATTGTTCCAGAAACTAGATGTGTCTTAGAAATTGCATTGCTGGAGCTGGGGATTTAGCTCAGTGGCATAAGTGCCTGCCTTGTAAATGTGTGGTTGTGAGTTTGATCCCTGGTACTGGTAAAAAAAAATTGCATTGTCTTCCTTTATCATTTTATAAGCTGTCACATAGTTGCTATTTTTTTCCTTGGTGGTGCTAGGGATTGAACCTTGCATACGCTAGACAAATGCTTTCCCAGTGAGCTACATTTTCCAGGCCAGATGCTATTTTCTAAGTGGAAGGAAGGAAAGAAAAGGTATCGAACAAAATAGTACTCAATTCCTCAGACGAGGGGAGGGAGAGGAGAACCTTCCCAGACAGTCAGCCCATCAGGCTGTGAGGACCAGGACTGTTACTCACAATCAAATATCTGTGTGGGGAGCTCCAAGTCCAGGGTACCCGAAGCTATGCATCAACGTCCAGGTTTAGACCCAAATGAAAGTCAAAAATTATTGAGGCAGAAATATGGAGCTGGTGTGGGTGTTAAGAGTAAGGAGAAGAAAAGGAAGTGATTCCTGCCTGGAAACCAGTGTCATGCACAGGCTGAAGTGGAGACAGCCAGACCCAAGCCTCTTCCTGTGAGTCGGCGCCATTGGTGGACTGCAGGGGAAGAGAACCAGGCCTCACCAGGAAGTGATCCGTATCAATTTCATTGTTTTGTTGGGTTGGGTTTTATTCTCTTTTGCTTTGTTTGATTATGTTAAATCTGATGGCAAGAGCAGCTATTTAAAAGATAGCAAGACATATCAGGGTAGCCATTTTGGATTTACTATTAGCTTATTTTGAAGTCTTTTATTGCATTCATTAGCTTATTTTGAAGTCTTGTATCACCTTCATTGTTTTGTTTTTATTGTTTCTACACTATTCTGTCCTGTTTGATTTTTACTGTGTCTGAAGGTATCTGCAGCTATTTTGAAGACAATAAAAGGCATGATGTTAACTATCGCTAATTTCCTAAAGTTTTGAAGTCCTGTATCACTTATACTAATTTGATTGGTTTTATTCTATTTTATTTTCCTTGGTTTTATCCTCTTTAAAATAAAAAAAAAAGAGTAAGGAGAAATTTTCAAGTTGTGAAGAATTGAAGCATTTTGGGTAAAATTTGAAAACTTGAGTATAGATATGAGCAAAGCAAAGTTCTTAGGACAGACAGGCTACAAATTTTAAAAACACTTTTTAAAAACTGTTTTTTTTCTAATCCTATTTCATTTCAACATTTTGTTATGAAAGTTTTCATATAGAAAGAGGAAGTCGAAAATGATATATGAACTATCATCTAGATTTTTACAATGATCATTTTGCTACATATGCTTTACCATGTATTTGTCTATCCTTTTTCCTTTCATCAATCTATTCTATTTCTAATATTTTCTTATAAAAATATATCCCTCTTGATATTGCATTTTGTGGTTATTTATATCAAGGTGAAGATGGCTAATTACCTTTCATTATTTATTCTTTGTTTTGTCCATAGTGATACAATTTTTAAATTTGTGGATAGAAATTTTTGTATAAGCCTACAGGCAGGCAAGGCGGCCATCCCTATAATCCCAGCACATTGGGAGGCTCAGACAAGAGGATCACAAATTTGAGCCCAGATGGGTACTAGTGACTTCAGGAGACCCCATCTCAAAATAAAAAATAAAAAAGGGCTAGGGATGTGGTTCAGTGCAACGCAGTCCTTAGTATAACAAAACAAACAAACACATTTCCCAGGTACTTTTGCAGGAGGATGGAGCCCTGTGGCTATGTTCTGGCCAATAAAATGTAAAAGGAAGCATCATATGACAATTTCCAGGACACTTTTTCTAAAACGTGGCATGCAGGAAGCTATGCCCACTTTACCTACTCTAGCATCTCTATTCTGCTGCCTTGAACCTGCTGCAGCACCAGCCTGGATCAAGAAGAGGGGGGCCCCCAGCCTAGGGGTGGCATCGTGGTTCTATGAGCTGGAGGAAGCCCAGATAGCAAGAAGTCTATAAAACAAGACCTTCATACACACACACACACACACACACACACACACACGCAGTCCTGGACTGCTCACTCCCTGCACTAAATTTACAAGAGTAAAATAAACATCTTCCCTGTTTAAGCTGTTATAGTGGGCACTCTGTCATTTGCAACTATACCTAATTCTAACTAAAGTGAGAGACTTAAAAATTAAACAGTACCTCCAGGGCCGGGAGGCAGCCCAGCATTAAAGAACTTGCCTGGCATGCGTGAGGCCTTGGGTTCCAGCACAGATGGCGTTGGGGAAGGAGATGGGATGACAGGGGATGACAGAGGGCATCTAAGGAAAAGCAATAAATCCACATGCAGTGATGGCGAACCTTTTATATCATTCAGTGACACAAACAGCCTGCTACGGCACGCCATGTGCCAGAGGTTCGCCACCACTGCCCTAATGCCTCCCCAGTCCCAGTGAGCTCCCCAGAGGCAAGCTTTTCCAAGCTTTCACCAGGTTACTTCCACATCTCTTAAACAATGCGCTTCCATGATTACTTCTTCATTTATGCTTTGTTGTTCACTTCTAACTTCTTAATTCTTTCTGTCAATAAAAATGTTTCCTGGGCTGGAATGTAGCTCAGTGGTAGAGCATATGGGATGTCTTGGATTCAAATCCTAGCTGTATGATAAGGACAGGATTGATCCAGTCAATAAGGTGCATCACTACGGGCTGGGGTGCAGCTCCAGAGGAGGAGGCGTGCCTGCAGCATGCTCGAGTCCCTGTAGCACAGCTACAGCTTGGGTGTGATGCCTAGCACGGCAGAAAAACAAAGTACATCACTAAGTTGGTTTCTCTGCTACTTCCGTTTGCAAGTATAGTATTATTCTCACGGTCATTTCTCCTTCCCTTGCTCTTTCCTCCTTCCTGCTGGCTGGAACCCTAGGCCATCATTCCCATCAGGAAGCCACACCTGGAAAGGTAGAATGACAAGATGAAGGGGCCACCCAGCTGCCACTGCATGGAAGCACACAAGTGTCCTTGAGTAAGAGGACAGGGTCCTTTCACTTCAGATAGGGTTTGTCTTGGTTCGGCCACCACTGTTGAGCCTCCTTGTTATTGCCGTCTGCCCTGTATCTGAAAGCCACTCCGCTGTGATCACCAGAAATCACCTCCAGCTCCATCTGCGGCCACCTCCTTAGCACCTGGCTGCCCCACCCCCTGGGTTCCCCTTAACCATGTCCTGATTTGCCCTCTGCTCGTTTTCCTTACTGCCCTGAAATTAGATTCTCTGTGCTAGGATCGTGGGTGGTAGTGTCTGGTCAGGCTGGCAGCTCTTCACTAAAGAGAACCGAAAGGAGTTTGTGGATTTGTAAAGGAAAAAAGAACTCCTACTAGGTTCTTAGTTAGAAGGGGACCTGTATTTTTTAACAGGCAGATTAACAGAGGGAAAAGAAAGAATTTATTAACGTGTATTTCATATACACAGTTGAGACACCAGGAAAGGAACAGATCTCAAAAAGGAGGCTTTGAATGCCCGCTTCTTTATCTAGATCTTCCCAAAAGAGCAGTCAGGCTGGAGGGGAAGCTCGGTGGTGAGTGCTGGTCTAACGTTTCTGGGGCCCTGGGTTCCATTCCCAGCACTGGGGAAACAAAAGAGCGGTTAATTTTGAGAGAAGTGGCAAGACAAAGGAAAGGGACTTGGAGACTCTTGGGTGGCAATTTGAGGAAAGGCAAAGGAAGAGGAGCAGCAGAGCCATTGATGTAGGTTCTCTTCCAACCTCCAGGCTAGACGAGCCCACAGCTGTACCCGGGCTGCCCTTTGTTCTCCTGGGGAGCAGTGGTAGAGGATACCTTTTGTCTTTGTAAACCTCACTGTTGCTTTCAGACAAACAGAGGGAAGGCGGAGAGGAGAGCTGGCTGACATCTGCTTCCTCTTAATTGCCTTTGGCTCCGTAATCCTTCATCTTTTTGGGGTGGAATAGCCTGGTCTCCCACAGACTTATGGGATCCAGTAAATGGTTGCCAACTGACTGCCCAACCAACAGAAAACCCCACCACGAAACACAAATGGACTAATGGGAATTTTTTCCCTCAAATTCTTGGAAATAGTTGTCATCATCGTCATTCAATCACTGAGCCCATGTGCAAGATACCTCATAGTAAGCACTTTGTCAGGGTTGTCTTTTAACCCCACCATTCTAGGAACTGTATCTCATACCTATTTTACAGATGGGGAAACTGAGTTTGGAAAAACGAAGCAACTTGCCTATTGCAGGGCCAGGGTAGCTAGGATGCCACCTACATCCATAATCCTGGAGACACCAGGTGGCTTAAGACAAAACACAGGGAAGTGAAGAACACTTCCCTGCAGCTTCTGGTGTTTCTATTTGCTACACTGCCACGACCCCCAAAACCTGAGCCCCACAGGAAACAAGCAGGGATCCCAAGGCTGATCACACTGGGACCACTGCTGGCCATCTGAGAGCAAATGGTCCGAACATTCAGGTTTCTGCACAGCTGGACATCCCACAGCACTTGGTCCTCCTGGAAAATCATTTCAAAAAGCCCAATGATTCACATGTATGTAGTCCTTCATGGCGATTACCTATTTTTATAAACATTAGTGCACTTGATTCTCAAAGCCATCTGTGACATAGGCGGGTGTGTACTATGACCCTTCCTGTTCTTCGGAGGAAGAATCCCAAGCTCAGAAGCACTGTGCCCCACCCCACCCCCGGAAGTCGTCAAGCAGGGACCTGAACACAGGATTTTTATTTTCTTGTTGCCCTGTGCTCTTCATGGTTAGCAAGTTACCTTTCATACCTTTCCCATTCTGTTACCCAAAGCAAGCTATGGACAAGTTATGTTAGGTTAGGGAAACACAAATAATGCTGGATTTATAAAGAGTAAGAGGTGGGGGTGCCGGGGGCTTGAACGCAGGGTCTCTGGCAGGCTAGGTAAGGGAACCAGTGTAAGTTATGTTCCTGGCACTTAAAACTCAAAAGGTTTTTAAAAGGCATTGAGTCCTGTTAGCTCCGAGACTGGAAAACAAAACAAAAAAAAACCACACACACACACAAACACAGAGTTTCATGGTTTGAATTCAGCTGAGGCCAGGAAAAATGCCACAGTGGCTTTTACCTAGGTGGCCAAAGCTGCCTATATTTTTCTAGCAACGTCAGGAGCTAGCCAACATCCACACCTGAAAAACTGCCGTGGGCCTGAGAACTTGGGGTACCCAACTCAGCAAAGAGGCCTGTGACTGTGCCAGGCCTGTAACAGGATGGGCTGAGATAAAGATCCTGGAAACCGGCACCCACGGGATGTCCAAAACACATAACCACCCTGTCCCTTGAACCCTGTCCTTTGTACTCAAACAAGTTGTCCCAGAGACCACTCTGCTGGGCTCTGCGCTTTTTGGTTGAAAGTGTACCATATGCAGACAGGGAGTTTTTGTTCTGGGTCTTTCTTTTTTTCCTGGTCCAGAGGATCCAGGGGTTTGGAGGTGGGAGAAGGAGGACAAGGGAACAGCTGTCCACCTGTTAGAGTTGTCTAGCCAAGGCCATTAGAGAGGATCACCCAGGTGCTTGGGGCTATCCTGAAATCCCAGGGGAAGTGCACAACCACAGCGAATCCACTGAGAAAAGAAATCGGTGCCCAGTTCAGAGAGGACACAGTGGCGGTCAGACATGTCCGGGGTTGTCTCTGTGAGCAGTCACTTGGCATAGGCTGACTGGGTCCGAGGGCTGACTGGGCCGTAAGCATAGAAATCAAGGCCTGGTGCAAACTTGGTTGGCCAAACTACCCTCATAAAATCATAGACTCCTCTTAAAAAGTAATAGAAGA